GGGTTCTAGCCAAGGTGGGGGTTTTACCTCCATGTTTCAAACGATGGCGGGACAAAAACGTGCTATACCTTGGGACCCCGAGTTTTAAGAGAGTAAGGTGTTCTTTACTCACCTGTCCAGACTTCGCCAAGGCTGTCTAGAGACCCCAAGACAGGAGAGGACTTGTGTGACCCATTTATAGTCTCAGGTAATACATCTCAGCTTAGCAAGGGAACTCTAAACTCGCAATCGATACCATGGGTACGGATTTAGGTCATGAAGGGTATTGTGGGTACTGAGTGTGTAAATACCAGTGTTTTTGCAGCAGTTTTTGCTAAACTGACCCGGGTACTTTGTCCAGTCATGAAAGAAAGTTTTAGTGATTACTGTTTCCACAATAAGTGATAAAACTTGCATATGCCTCTGCTTGCACCATGTAAAGAAATGAGGCTTGCAACACAGAATGTCGCCATAATAAATATTCAAATCCACACATTTGGTATATAAAAAACAAAACATGTAAGCCTTTGCATATCGTTCAGTTCATTGTATGGTATCTAATATGTCTACTGACTACTTCGAAGCTTTCTGTGAAAAAAAATAATTATATTTTGCACCATAACTCCTGCTTCTGGAATCCGGTTTTTCTACACAAGGTCAGTAAACAAGTTTGTATACCATATAAGATCTGGAAAGCAGTGTAGATAAAGAATGATTCTATACCCGAAAAAAACACATTTGTATGCATTATCTTTCTAAAACAAGATCTTTCTAGTGATGAGATGCTACCACAGCTGTTCCACCATTTCGAGTATTTTCGTAATATGTAAAGTGTGGCAAATATCTCTCAGTACAATAGATTTCCTATCTCGACCCTCTCTCTTTTCCTATGTCTCTCTCTCTCTCTCTTCTCTCTCTCTCTCTCTCTCTCTCTCTCTCTCTCTCTCCTCTCTCTCTCTCTCTCTCTCTCTCTCTCTCTCTCTCCCTTCCTCTCTCTCCTCACTCTCTCTCCCTCTCTCTCTCCTCTCTCCCTCTCTCTCTCTCTCTCTCTCTCTCTCTCCCCCCCCCCCCTCTCTCTCTCTCTCTCTCTCTCTCTCTCTCTCTCTCTCTCTCTCTCTCTCTCTCTCTCTCTCTCTCTCTCTCTCTAAAACTTTGGTTTTCTTTACAGTCTCCAAATTCTCAAATTCCTAAATCCTTTACAACTACCCAGCAGCTTCCTTTTCTTAGTCATCTGTTCCGTTCTTTCAAGTCAAGTGGGTCTATTACATCCATTTTTACTTTTGCTTTAATGGAAACTTAAACTATGCTTAAACTATCTTTATAAACTAAACCGTTTATAGAGATTGTGAATTCATAGTAGTGTCTATTTCCATTTGTTTCATGTATGTATTTTCTGTCAGTTGGCGCGCAGAGGGGAGGGGGGGGGTAAGGGGCGGTGGCCGAGCATCCAAAGACCGGGGGGAGGGGGGGGACATCCTAATAATAATAATAAGTGATAAGATAGCGATTTGAAAATTCTATTTAAATCGAATTGTCTACCTTTTTCTGTTTCATGATACGAAGATCTACAATGCACAATTTTTTTCAGTCTAGTTTGTGCATCGTGGGATTTTCGACCACTGTATCAACACGGTAGAGTGTTTTTCCTTTCATGTGCCATCTCTGTGTACATATTCAAATTATCTTCCTTTCTCATGACATTTCTCAGTACTAGGCCTCATACTTGAGTCTTTGGGGCATACAATCGAGGAGTTAGACCGGGCATCACCAGACCTGCACGCCACTGGTTTCTGTGCTGCGGTTATACATATGGATGGAAGAGGAAAGAGCCTAAACCTCCAAATTTGGGAGCGATACACACACACACACACACGCAAACGCACACACACACACACACACACACACACACACACACACACGCACACACACACACAACACACACACACACACACACACACACACACACACACACACACACACACACACACACACACACACACACACACACACACACACGCAATGACACTCATTTATTCATTCATTCCACGACCTAATTTACGTTAATTTTAATCTCTATTTCGATCCACGTAGCGCAGGGCGAGTCCATGGCTTTGGGCGGTCGTGTGTAGCGCACTTATTTACCAATTATCGAATGCCTGTATTGTGGAATTGGCTAATAGGCTATTTATGTGTCGTGTGAGCCTGTTCCAGTTGCCAGAGGTGCGTTAACAGAGAGTACTTGTGGGGAGTCTGTTTTGGTGAGACTTTTGGCGTAATTTTAAAAGTGTGTGGTGCGAGTATTTCTGATGTTGAATGGGTCCCGGAATCTCTCTTTTTTTGTAATGTCTGATGTTCGGTGTGTTATTGTTGTTTTATGTGTGTTATGAGGCCATACGAGCTTGTGTAAAATTTGTGTTTGCGTTGGTAATCAACCTTGCAACCATAGTGATTTTTCTTGTGGTGTATTTGCCAAAACATGCATGTGAATCCAGTACTGCAACACATAAAATGCTTGCAAATTTTGCACGCTTTCCTGTCTTGTTTCCTGTTTTAGAGTTTAGGAAAACATATGAGGCAGTGCATCATGTCACTGTTTTGTCTGCTAGATAATACACTATCAACATTTGGTGTCTATTGCTTTTAGAGAGGGAGGGAGGGGAGGGGGAGGGAGGAGGAAGGAAGGGAGGAAGAGAGAGAGAGAGAGAGAGAGAGAGAGAGAGAGAGAAGAGAGAAAGTGAGAGATAGAGAGAGAGAAGTAATGATATATATACATACACACACACACACACACACACACACACACACACACACACACACACACACACACACACACACACACACACACACATATATATATATATATATATATATGTATATATATATATATATATATATATATGTATATATATATATATCATATATCATATACATACATAAAGATGTAAATGTAGCTATTTATGTATCAATATATATCTGCATCTCTATGTTCATGTACAGATACATACATGCACACATTGCGCAACTGTTATTATAATTATTATATATTCGAGTTCACCGTCATTATTATTATTATTACCTACGTCATCAGTATCACTGTCGTCATTACAATAAGCATCCCTCATTATACAACGAGCGTAGTTTTCCCTCCAAAATGCCTAAACATGTGATCGATTATACATTTGTGGAGTTGTCACGTAGCCAACCACGCTAAGCTCTGTTCTTTTGTTTGTTACATTTATTCGTTCGTGATTTGCTGTGCTTCGTTGTGTTCAGTATTGTATCGTTTGGTTTTGTTATAGTATTGCTATTGGGGTTTATTGTGTTCAGACAAAGAAAAACAAAGCCTTTCGCTGGAATTCAGGTTTGTTGTTGTCTCTTTTCTGCTGCTTTCGTTTGTATCTTTTCTTTCCTTTGATTCTTTTTAAAGATTATTACAAGTTTGGAGATTCTTTCATGAAGATGAGAACTATTACCATTATTGTTTTAATATGATTTTTGAGAGGCTAGGATCGTTTTGTCAATATCAATGTTCTGATGTTCTGATCACCTTAGGATTATATCCATTATGCTGTTATTATGATTCAGTAAAAGACAATATGGCAACTCACTCTAGGCTTGAAATACTCCGATTTGTTAAGATCTCGGTTTAAGTAGAACAAACAAACAAATAAAGCAATGGAAAGCATTGAAAATATTATATATGAATTTTAGAAATACCAAACTTATTTAAATACAGGTATTTATATCAGATCATTAGAATAAAAATATTTAGCGAATCGAAGTGCTCTAGAATCCAGGAGGGTGAGTTGCCAGTTTTTTCGTTTTCTACTCATATTATTTCCTACGTGCCTGGCAAAGAAAAGAAAACATGTAGTCATTTTTTTTTTTATTTAAACGAGGGAAATACATACTCCATAAAATCGACAACATCCAGAAATACATGTGCTGGGAAGCATATCAAAAGGGGAACATAAGTGAGAAGAGAAAGAACCAATGAGATGATATATCTCCAAGCTTAAGTTCCTTCATTTCTCTCTCTCTCTCTCTCTCTCTCTCTCTCTCTCTCTCTCTCTCTCTTCTCTCTCTCTCTCTCTCTCTCTCTCTCTCTCTCTCTCTCTCTCTCTCTCTCGATATGTGTGTGTGTGCTTGTGTGTTTGTACATATAAAGCACACGTACACATACATACATACATACATACATACATACATATATATATATATATATATATATATATATATATATATGTATATATATATATATATATATATCTATATATATGTATGTATATGTATATCATTATATATATATATATATATTATATATATATATATATATATATATGTATGTACATGTATGCACACACGCACACGCCCACACACACACACATGTATGTAGATATATATAGGTAAACAAAGATAATATATTTAAAGTACACATACTCACATATTCATACTTTACCAAATGACTGATATAGAGACAGTTTTAAATATCACATGCCCATGCTAGTAATAAATCAACAAGTAGAATTACGAATAAACATGACCAGCACGTTTATAGGTGTAACGGAGTGATTTGTGAACAGATAACAAGTAATAATGAACATAATTATCGAAACTTCTAATACCATCATTAATTAACATGTTTTGTGTACATGGAAGGTACGAACATACGAACGCAAAAATACACGAATATTATTTTTTTTTCTAATATTCACTTTTTTTTATCTCACTTATTCAGCATGAATTCTGAAGCTGAATGAATTAGGTGATATATTTTGGATCTGTGAGTCCTGCTCTTCAACATCCTTATTGCATTGAGTCCGAGGGTCCTTGCTTTCTTGGGAAATTCCTTTGGACTCTTGACTTCAGATTCAGCACCTCTTTAAAGCGTTAGTACTATTGAGATTTCTTCTACTTCTTCCATGACTGCCTTCGCTTGTGACTCATCTGTGAAAGGAAAAAGGAAGTTGAATTATTTTTTATCTAAAACTTATTCGTGGTCTAACTTTACTCGTGAAAAGTGACGATCATTGATTAAAGATTTGAGAAGCTGGCTCTATTATTCACAAGAGTTCATGTTCATAGAATCGGGAAATGCTTTGAACATTTTGGAAACGGGGGGAAAAGTCATCGTATGGCAAAGATGAAAGGTCAGTCGAGAAGCGTCTTTCCCATCAGCATGCGTCTCAGAGTACAAAGGTGTCGTCAGTACCGTCTGAAGAATGTCTGCGTCAGGAAGTCAGAATAAGCCGCGGGTCAAACTATCTGGCGTTGTCTTGGTGAGCGTCCAGGGCCCGCCACACCCCGGGGCTCACTTCAGCCACTTGCTTCTCGGGAGACCCTCTCCGACTGGGGTCCAGGCCGTCGGGAACGACAGATCTGCGTCTGCGCCTCCTGCGGCCTCCAACGAACACGGGCAAAAGGGCAGCGAAAGTGGCAGGGATGAGGCCGGCTCCCACGGCAGCCATGACAGCAGAAGGGTTGTCGAAGAACCCGGCAGGCGCCTGCTGGGGTGGCTTTGCGGTTGTGCTGGTGCTGGTCGGCCTGGTGGTGGTGGTGGGAGGAGGGCGTGCGGTAGTCGTGGTAGTGGTGGTACTAGAGGTTGTGGTGGTATTGGGTTCGTCAGAGAGAGCTGCAGTGAGGGGAGGGGGAGAGATGAGATAAAGGGGAACACTCACGTGGGCGACGCCCGTGGACTCGATGGAGGACGCCGGGGCAGGGGTCAGGGGGCGAAACAGCCCCGGGGCGATCACGGACAGAGGCACCGAAGCGAAGCTTTGCGCGTAACCCCCGCCGGTTTCGATCGTCTCCGGAGGGTTGCCCGGGAGGGCGCTGGGCACCTCCACTGTGTGGGAGCTGTTGCGCTCGTGGCTGGGGAAGGAGTGGGGCTGCCTGTCGTTCACGCCGAGGACCGTGAGGCTCGCGGAGGCGTGGTGGGTCGGCGCCCGCTGAGGGTCCGAGGGCCGAGGCGGCTCGCTGTAGGGCTTTTGGTCCAGATGCGTGTTGCTGGAGGAGATCTTCACCCATCTCCCCGTGTCGCGGTCCAGCTGCGACACCGTGGACATGCCGTATCGGTTCCAGACTCCGTCATAGGATGCGGGCCGCTTGGTGGGTCGCGGCGGGGGCCGAGGCGGGCCGTACGGAGGGAGAATGGCGTCGTCGTGCGGGGCCAGGGGCTTCAGCATCTGCGGGCGTGGGTTCTTCTCGCTCGGCCGGCGGGTTTTCTGCGTGGGGAAGGGGCCGTAGGACTGGGCGTTGCTTGGCCTCTTGTTCGACAGCCTGTCCCAGCTGTTGGTCGGCCTCGAAGGAAAGTCGCTCGAGATCTGGTCCCAAGTCACTGCCGGCGACCGGAAGGGGTCCTGCGTCTCGTGGTCCCTCGACCCGCTCACCGACTGGTACTTGAACACTTGCCCCCTCGAAGGCTGCGACCCGGGGCGGAACCTCGAGCCCGGCCAGTAGCCCCGGTCGCTGTGCCCTCCGAACGCCCGCTCCTCACTCGCGCCGTCGAAGTCCGACTCCTCAGGAACGGACGGGCTGCCGCTCGACTCGAAGTCGTCGGAATACTGGAATCCATTTCGGAGGCTGAACTGCTCGAGGTACTCCTTGAGCTCCTCGTCACTCAGCGGCTTGAGGTTGAGGGGAGGGGGCGTCGTGGTGTAGGCGGGGATGATGGAGGAGCAGGAGCGGCCGCTGGTGCACTCGATCTTGTAGAACTTGATGTTGTGCTTGAGGTCGATGCTGCCCTCGCGCGAGTCGTCGGCGGCGCCCACGAAAGACAGCGCGTCCGGCGGGAAGTCCCTCAGGGGGTCCTTCTCCGGCTCGTCGCGGACGCCGATGGGACGCGAGATGATGATGGTGCTGGGCAGGGCCTTGCCGTCCTTGCGCGTGTACGTCGCCGGCGCCACGTACAGCTCCGTGTCCAGCTGGGGCTCGTGCTTGATCACCAGGCCGAGGGCGGGGGGACGGACCGCCACGCCCATGAGCACGACGACCACCGAGAGGCGCTGCAGCCCACTGATCGACGACGGGAGAGTCATCCTCATTCAGTGGACATCATCTGGAATCGATAGAGCTTTCAGTGGGTCGTCATGAGAACCACGTCATCATGTGGGCAGAAGATTACATGTACAAATTACATATATACATTGTATATGTGTGTGTGGAGAGAGAGAGAGGGGGGGGGAGGGCAGCGAGAGAAAGAGAGAAAGAAAGGGAAAGGGAGAGGAGAGAGGGGTGGGGGCAGCGAGAGAGAGGGGAGAGATAGAGAATGAGAGCGAGAGAGTGTGTAAATATATATTCATATATATGTAAATACACACACACACACACACACACACACACACACATATATATATATATATATATATATATATATATATATATATATATATATATATATATATATACATATATATATATATATATATATATATATATATATATGTATATATGTGTGTGTGTGTGTGTCTAAAGAGAAAGAGAGAAAGCAACTTGATGTCGAAATATAAACCTAGATATAAAATGCTCTCATGATTCCCAGTGACTATAAAAAAAAAAAAACGCACGAAACATCACCTCGACTTTTCCCCGATTTTCCCGCCATACATCCCGGCCTCGCGATGGGCGGCGAAACGTGCACGAGGCAGCGACCACTGACACGAAGGGGCGTTTTCTCTCGTCATTAACTTTGCTAGTTTAATATTAACAGGTCACGGGCTATGTCATCGTAGTTTGGTGCTTTGGATGTGATGATGGCGTTTGTGAGACGGATTCAGTGTGGTTTTCAGTCGAATTTTGTTAAAGGGGTAACGGCATAAATGGAAATAATAATAGCAAAAACAGTAGAAACGATAGCAGTAGTGATAATGATAACTGACAATAATAACAGTAATTATATTTTTAATTTGATTATAATAATTAAATCGAACACAGCAAAGCTACACAAACAAAACAATAAGAGAAGCCAAGGTATTGCATAAGTACATGAATTAACAACAATAATGCGAAATCTTTCACGGCTTTGTCGATCGCTCAAGATGGAAATCAGTAACAGGGTTATTTTGAGATTAGAGAGTGTAACGACATGGAAAAGAATGAATATATTCGTATAGTTAGAAAAATATATAAGAAATATCTCTTCGCCAGTGTAGATACTGCTAAGAAAATAGATGACAAAAGAACATTGAAATGCGCTTCACTCTACCAACTATGGTTTCCGATGCTCATTGTTATAGGATCGAAACGCTTCCAGTCCACTTATTGCGCTGGGAAGTTCATAAAGCCCACTCACTTAAGGTGCTGTCACACTAGCACTTTTTCCGCCAATTTTTTGACAATTTTATTTAACATCAATACAAACATTCTCGAATATAGCTCTTGATCTGACTATGCTTGGCTGGAAAAAAGTTGACGGAAAGGTTTTCAGACGGAAACGATCATTATCGCCTGACTTGAAAATCGACAATTCGCCCCAAAATGGACAAAACTTCAGAATACTGTAAAAAAATGACAAAAAAGTGCTAGTGACAGTACCTTTATCTGAATTAGTCACGGAGAACTAATTTCTGTTTATCTTTTTAGCTTGAACTTCACGACACGAGGTTCGGGTTGTTAGTTAATATGTTTGCATAATTATCAGAGAGATAATCTACTTTATATTCATCACCGAATAGAAATATTTCATTTTTGAATTCATGGCTGGAGGATGAAAGGGAGAAGAAGAAAACTAAAACTGGAAAAGGAGATAGGAGAGAATATGATAATAATTGTTATGATAATGATATCCTCAACATCAAAATTGGTGATGACGATGATAATCATAACAATAATATTATGAAAAAGATCAAATGATAATTTCTACCGAAATAATCATAATACAGAGTGAAAGGAGGGGGGGGAGCAAAGGCGGATGTGGGGAGAAAGTGCAACGGAAGAGGCGGAGAATGAGGAAGGGAGGAAGAAAAAGGAGGAAAAGAATAAATGGGGGGCGAGGGAAAGTAAGGGGAGTAGGGGTGCGAAGTAGAGGTGCAAGGAGGGATGGAGAAGAATAAAGAAGGAGGAGAGGGAAGAAGCACAATGGAAGAGAAAGAGCAAGGAGGAAGCGAAGAGAATAGGGAAAAATAAGAAGGAATAGAGGAAAACCAAGGAAGGGGGAGAGAAGGGGAATAAGAGAAAGAGAGAGAGAGAGAGAGGGGGGGGGAGAGGGGAGAGCGAGAGAGAGAGACAGACAGATTGACAGAGAGAGAGAAAAAAATGGAGAGAGAGCGAAAGAGACAGACAGAGAGAGAGACAGACAGACAGACAGAGAGACAGAGAGAGAAACAGACAGAGAGAGAGAGAGAGAATCCACCTCATAGAGAAACAGCGGGTAGAAGCAGTCGCAGAAATAAGAGAGGTGGAGGGGAGGGGGGGAAGGAGGGAGGACCCATACCCCCCACACCAAGAACACCCTGAACAAGTGAACATCGTCGTTTTTAGGGTGTGACAGTTGCGTGCCGCTCTCTACACTTCAGCCCGTGAGCGAGAACGCCCCACGTTGCAGAAGGGTGACGCTTAGGGTGACAATTAAGGCCGTGTCACACTAGCACTTTTTCCGTAATTTTTTGACAATTTATTTAACATAAATACAAACATTCTCGCACTTTTTTTTGACAATTTTATTTAACATAAATACAAACATTCTCGAATATAGCTCTCGATTTGACTATGCTTGGCTGAAAAAGTTGACGGAAAGGTTTTCAAACGGAAACGACCATTATCGCCTGACTGGAAAATCGACACGCTCAAATGGACAAAATATCAGAAAATTGTCAAAAAAACGGAAGTGGTGTGACGGCACCTTTTAATCTAGTGAGTAGGCAGAGAGAATAAAAAGGTGGGAGATCGAATCAAGAAATAGATAGGAGGATATGAAAAGATGGGAAAAGATAAGGAGGTGGATAAGAAAAGAGAGATGGTAAAACGGGGAATCAGGAGATGGAGAAGAGAAAGACGGTTAGAGAGGAGTGGAAGGCGGGAGAAGAAAAAACGAGATAGATAAGGAATGAGGAAGTTGGAAAAAGGAATTAAGAGATAAATAAAAGCTGAGCAGACGGTGGGAGAAGGAAACAAACGATAGATAAGAGAGACCGGTAGACAAAAGGACGAGGTAGATGAGAGAAGACAGTGGGATAATAAACAAGAGAGATAGATAACAGAAGAGAACGCTGGAGAAGTAAGGACGAGATAGAGAAGAGAAAAGGACAGCGGGAGAAAGAAAGGCTAAATAAAGGAGAAAGAAAATCCATGGTAACGGTGGGAAAAGCAACAAAAATACGTTAAATTTGAACCTGACTGAATAGGGGCCAGTGGCGTGGTAGGCAGGGAGTGCAATTGGGCGCCAAAATGCATTTCCATGTGCATATGGGGCTACGAGGACGCCTGAGTTGCCAAGTTCTCGAATCGATTTTCTTTTTTCTTTTTTTCTCTTACCAGTCTTTTTCGATTCATAGTCATGTAGCAGCCTTCACAGAAACATTGATGTGATTAACGAAAATAGATAAACTGTTTTCCATCAGCTAAACTTCGTTACCAACGTTAAGTATCGATGAATAATATGAACTGCACCTGCAACATTTTAAAGCTAGTCACGGAAGGGCGCGCCATTTTAAAATTTCCCGCCAATTGCAATCTCATCCCAACACAGCACTAAATAGGCCTACATCGCCTTATAATGAAGCCAACCATCCTTCGATTCATGTAAATCCTAATAATGATTCGATCAGGGTTGCCCTAATCACGATGTAATTAGGTTAGGTCCCTCATTACAAGTCGCATCTTAATTAAACTTTTAACAGTCTTCCTAATTGATAGTTGATAGGATTATAGACGGACTAAAATGTGAACAGTAATGATATTAACCAATTTATCATCATCTTATTTCTCCTCCTCCTCCTCCTCATTATTGTATTGTCATTATTATTATCATTATTATTATTATTATTATTATTATTATTATTATTATTATTATTATTATTATTATTATTATTATTATCATCATCATCATTGATATTGTTACTGATATTAATACTAATATTATCATTATAACCATTATTATATCATAATTATTGTTGTTATTGTTATAGTTATCATTATTATTATTATAATGATCAATACCATTGTTATTATTATTATATTTATCATCATCGTTATTATTATTACTATTATAATCATTATCATTATCGTTGTTATTATTACTATTATTATCATTATCATTATTGTTGTTATTGATATTACTATTACTATAATCCTTATTATCAATATAATGATTATTACCATTATTATAGCTATTATCATTATGATGATGATGATGATTATGATTATTACTTTTTATCATTATCATCATTATTTTTGTTATCATTATAGTGATTATGATTATCAATGTTATCATTATCATCATTATTTTTGTTATCATTAAAGTGATTATGATTATCAATATCATATCATATCTTTATCATCCTCATTGATTACCATTATTATCATTATCTATATCATCATAGATATTATTATCATTATCATCACTATTATTTGTCATCATCATCATTATCCCTGTTATCATTAACCTTATCATTTTTATCATCCTCGTCATCACCATCATAATCAATCTCATTATAATTATTATCATTATATCATCACAGTAATCATTAGCATTATCATCGTCGCTATTATAATTGTTACGATTATTACCATCATTATCACCTTATTCACTATTACAGGAACTGTTACATTTATCATTGTTGTTTATGTCATTATTATTGTTCTTTGTTGTTGTTATTTTTATTATCATTATCTTCATATCTATGATCATTATTATGAATAAAAAACATAATCGTTACAACTATCACTGATTTTCTTTCTCATTTCATTATCACACCATTACTATTGCTATAATTCTCTCGGTATTTTTAATGTCATGTGAATTTCAAACATTATCATTATTATCATTTCCATATCATTAATGCTACTGCCGTTGTTATCACGATCATCATTGTTATGAGTGTAATTATTATCATTTATTGCCATTGTTATAATTATAAATTCAAGAAAGCGTTAAATAAGAACAGCAAAAGTAGTGATAACAAGACTAATTATAGCAATAATGAAAATCAGGATACTGATGATCACATTAATTATCATAATACGATGATAATTAAGGCATTGATAAAATAACGATGATAAGCATATCAATAATATAACGATGATAATAATACTTACAAAGTAACGATAAAATAAAGATGATGATAATATCGATAAAGCAAATTGTTACACTGCACGGATGAGCAAAACACACATAAAAATAACGGTAATTAAAGTGAAAATAAGACTTTCACTTCGAGTTTGACCTTTGTTGAAATCTCCGTCACCATAACTTAAAATAAAGGAGGGTTTGTCGGACACATAAGCAGAAATGGATAACCAAAAATAAAGGTAAATTTAAAGGAAAACATATACTAAAACGCAGCTCAATGTACCAATATAATTTTATGTCTGAAGCACTTTCTAATGTTTCCATGTGCAGGTTTCCGGATCCAGCACAAAATGTAGATTGCATCATTACATTGTCACGTGTTTTAACCACTTCAAGATGTATCAAAGTTGGAATAATTTCATCACTAAAGTACCATCTATAATTACTTACTCAAAATAAATGTGTCAATGCGTCACCTTTCGGTAGAATTACCCAGACTTGAACTCGCCCTCTTACAAACTCGCACCAAACTGGGAAATGGCAACGCCCGACCGTGAAGCAGATCCAGCACTGTTTGAGGTGAAAGTGAAAGTGTGGGAGAGAGTTTGATGTCACATCCGCTCTCACGTTCACTGCTCGCTCATGGCAATCCCGCTGAATATTCTGTCCTTTATTATCCATTAGTATATTGGCAGTGGGAGGATCTTAGTATATAGAGGCGAAAATGGATTGTGGATCATGATGGGGAAATGTCTGCGTGTCGACTTTCTAGATGAAATATTTCGCAAAAGTTTCCACCGGGAATAAATGAATAAAGATTAAATGATAAAGGGAATTATCAGAATCTCAAACAGATGAAAATAAAAAGATGGATATCATGATCTGTGATTTCCTTGCGATAACATTGTTTTATTGCATTTGTTCTCTTTTCATTACCATTGTTATCTACATCAATAATATCATTAGTATTATTGTCATTATTAATAGGATTTGTAACGTTCACTACTTCTATCTATCTTTTTTTTCATCTGTATCTTTTTTCATCCATTTTCATTATTTTATTTTCAATATTATTATCGTCACCGAACTTTATCATTATCTGATATCAAAAAGACATTTATGATGATTGTTATCATTGCCATCGTTACTGTCATCATTATTTTTATCACTATCATCAATAGTATCATTATCATCATTATCATTGTTATTATTAATATTACTATTGTCATTATTACCATTATTATCATTATTGTTACTATTATTCTTATCATCATTATCATTATTATCATCATTATTATTGGTATCATCATTATTATTTTGATTATTAATGTTATCATTATCATTATCATTATTATTATCATTATCATTATTATTGTCAACATCATGATTATTATTATTATTATCTTCATTATTATTACCATTATGATCATTATCATTATTGGTGTTATTTTTTATTTTTTACTATTATTATCATGATCATTATTATTATCATTATCATTATAATTAGCAATAGTAGTAACAGTATCATTATTATCACTAATCATTATCATCATTACCATTGTTATCATGGTTATTGCTGTTGCTATTATTACTTTTACTATTATCATAATCATCATCCTTATCATTGCAATTATTATTGATATTGTTATTATTGATATTGCCATTATTATTATTATTATCATTATCATCTTGTTATTATGCTGCTAATGTGATTATGTAATGTTGATAATCATTTTCATGATCTGTATCATAATCGGTATTATCATTATTATTATCATTTTTATTATTATTATTATTATCATTATCATTATTATCATTATTGTTACTATTATTCTTATCATCATTATCATTATTATCATCATTATTATTGGTATCATCATTATTATTTTGATTATTAATGTTATCATTATCATTATCATTATTATTATCATTATCATTATTATTGTCAACATCATGATTATTATTATTATTATCTTCATTATTATTACCATTATGATCATTATCATTATTGGTGTTATTTTTTATTTTTTACTATTATTATCATGATCATTATTATTATCATTATCATTATAATTAGCAATAGTAGTAACAGTATCATTATTATCACTAATCATTATCATCATTACCATTGTTATCATGGTTATTGCTGTTGCTATTATTACTTTTACTATTATCATAATCATCATCCTTATCATTGCAATTATTATTGATATTGTTATTATTGATATTGCCATTATTATTATTATTATCATTATCATCTTGTTATTATGCTGCTAATGTGATTATGTAATGTTGATAATCATTTTCATGATCTGTATCATAATCGGTATTATCATTATTATTATCATTTTTATTATTATTATTATTATCATTATCATTATTATCATTATTATTATCATTATCATTATTATTATCATTATTATTTTCATTATCATTATTATCATTATCATTATCATTATTATCATCATTATCATTATTATTATCATTATTATTATCATTATCATCATCATATTCAATATCATTATTATTATTATTGTTATTATTATCATTACTTTCATTATGATTATTATCATTATTATTATTATTATTATTATTATTATTATTATTATTATTATTATTATTATTATTATTATTATTTGCATCATTATCAGTATTATTAATTTTATTATAATTATTGTCATTAATATTACTTTTATCATTATCATTACTGTTATTATCATTCTCATCATTCTCATTATCATTGTTATCAATGGTATCACTGCTATTGCTATTATCATTATTAGTAGTATAGCATT